CTCACCCCACGGCCCACTCCCCTCCCCCACCGGTCAATGCCCACCCTATGCAAACCCGCTCTAAGGCCAGTGTTTTCTGCCCAAAACAAATCCTAGACCTCCACACCACCACCTCCATCTCCCCTTTACCCCCAACTTACCGTAGTGCTTTGAAAGATCCAAACTGGCATGCTGCTATGTGTGATGAATATAATGCTTTGTTAAATAATGACACATGGGAACTAGTACCCCCCTCCCCCAACCAAAACATAATCACCGGTAAATGGCTCTTCCGACACAAATTTGGCCCATCCGGTGAGTTATCCAGGTATAAGGCTCAATGGGTGGTCCGCGGATTCAATCAGCGTTTTGGCGTTGACTACAGCGAAACTTTCAGCCCCGTCATCAAGCCTGCCACGGTCCGAATCGTCCTTAGCCTCGCGTTGTTTCGTGGGTGGCCCATCCATCAGCTCGATGTCAAAAATGTCTTCCTCCATGGACAGCTTCAGGAAACCATGTATGCTAGCCAGCCCTCAGGATTTCAGGATGCAAATCGCCCTCATCATGTCTTCCGGCTCAAGAAAGCTCTTTATGGTCTGAAACAGGCACCCCGGTCATGGTATCACAGATTTGCAGGTTTTATTCAGACTATTGGATTTCGCAGCTGCAAATCTGACACCTCTCTCTTCGTCTTCACGCATGCCTCGGGGACCGCCTACCTCCTATTATATGTTGATGATATCGTCCTCACTGCCTCCTCGCCAGGGCTTCTTCAGAGTCTCATTCAGAAACTCAAGGCTGAGTTTGCCATGACAGACATGGGTGATCTGCACTTTTTCCTTGGCATTAATGTTCATCGCACTGCTCAGGGCCTTTTCCTCCATTAGACACAGTTCACTCACGACATCCTTGAGAGGGCAGGGATGGTCTCCTGCCGCCCCATATCCACTCCAGCCGAAACAAAGGCTAAGCTTTCTTCCTCCTCCGGCACGGCACTTCCAGATCCTTCTCTTTACAGGTCCATCGTAGGTGCTCTACAGTATCTCACATTCACCAGACCCGATATCACTTATGCCGTTCAGCAGCTCTGCCTCCACCTTCATGTGCCCCGCGACTCTCACCTCACGGCTATGAAGAGAGTTCTCCGTTATCTTAGCGGCACCGCCACTCACGGTATCTACCTGACTCGCTCCTCGACAGACTATCTCCAGGCTTATTCTGATGCTGATTGGGCTGGTTGTCCCGACACCAGAGTTCCACTTCCGGGTACTGTATTTTTCTGGGTGACAACATGATTTCCTAGTCTTCAAAACGCCAGGCCACCACTTCCCGCTTCAGTGCAGAGGCAGAATATCGGGCTGTGGCAAATGCAGTTGCTGAGACTTCTTGGGTCCGAAATCTTCTTCTTGAGCTCCAGCAACCACTACGACGTGCCACCCTCGTCTTCTGCGACAACGTCAGCGCCATCTATCTCTCATCAAACCCAGTTCAGCACCAGCGCACCAAGCACATTGAAGTCGACATACACTTTGTGCGAGACAAAGTCGCACTCGGCCATATCCGAGTCCTTCACGTGGCCTCTTCTTCACAGTATGCTGACATCTTCACCAAAGGACTACCTTCTCTACTCTTCCTCGAGTTTAAGTCCAGTCTGGGTATCAGACCCCCTCCTCATCCGACGTAGCCGGGAGCATGTTAAATATATTCTATATTTAATGTAAATATATTATTTCCTATTATTGTCTCCTACCTTGTATAGGATTAGGAATATATTGTCTCCTACCTTGTATAGGATTAAGAATCCTTGTGTATATATAGACATGTACTCCCACATATTCAATAAATGAAATTAACCTTTCTACAGTTATGTAATGTATGCATTATGCTCAATATATTTTTCCTTATTTTTAAAATGCGTCTAGTGATTTAAAACATGAAAATTTTTCTTTCTATAACAATGGAGGCAATTAATAACAATCCCTTATTAGAAATTAGTTAATAAAATAACGTCTCATGTAATTGAATTATTTATTGATTAATATATATCCAGTCATAATATTTTTTTTATTAAAATGAATTTGGTTTTTAAAAAGTCACATACTTGTGGTCCTCCAAGGTAACTTCCATCATTTGCTCTAGGGCATTATTAACCATACGGGTTTTGGGCGTAGTTCGACTAACTACTTTCCCGATTATATTGATCTGAAAATCCAAAAAATTACAATTTTATAAATTTCATAATCATAATATGTGAAATGACTCTTACCAACTAAAAAGACTTGGTCAGCAAACTTTGTTTCGAGTACATCTTCAAAACTCTTAAAGTATAATCGAAAATTAGGAAATCCATTTTCTGATAGTTTTTTAATCTTGGTCCTTCCAAAAAATTGCAGCATGCAAGTGTGATTGGTAGTTTTTTTGCCTTGGAAATTGCGTATAACTTTGACCCTCATGACTAAGTAAACCGCATTTTCTTGCAAATCTTCTTTGAATGTGCGTATATTAGTATCTTTGATCTGAGCATGGATCCGATCGCCCTAACAACAAATATAAAACGTTAATCTATAATTAAATTTATATTTTTTGTTTAAAGATTTATTATACGTAAAATATAAAACAATGTAGAACTAACATCTGAGTCGTGGAAAACAATATCCAATGATTCTGGCCCTCGAGAATGAGCAGGAACGTGGTAAACTCTAATCGCTCTTAGCTTTATCATCAATAATCCGGAATTTTCATGAACATTTTTTAAGGCGGTAATCATTCCCATGTTCATACAAAAACGATGGTGGAGCACCGATTAATTAAAACACTCGTTTCATGAACACTCATTTACTTTTCTGGCCCGGTAAGGTAGCGTATTTATACCAATGAATTTATGAATTTCGGTGTTCCTTTTTTATTACCATTTTGGTATACGTGTTAAAAATGTACTTTACTCTATACGTATTTTAATTTCTAATTTCGTTTATGCAAGTTATGGTATGAAGAATCTGCCCAAATTTGTTTCGCTGCATTAATGTTCAACATCTCTACCATTAGTAATTTTTTATTATCATTTTTGTATACCTGTTAAAAATGTACATTACTCTATACGTATTTTCCTATTTTTATTACTCTATACATCTATTAATTTCTATTTTATTAGCCTTACTTTATTATTCTAATTAGATTTTTAATTACCTTTTGTGATATACGTACTTAATTTTTTAATTACCATTTTTAAATGAAATAGGCTATTAGATATTATTACATATAATTAAATACAATTATTACCATTCATATAAACTGGTTAAAAAGGATTGATTTATTAACGGTAAGT